ACTTTTTTCTAATATATACGTACCTATCAACACAATGAAAAGATAATGTCGAATTGTTATCAGAAGCGTTGTATTTACAGTGTGGAGAGTGTTATTACAGGCCAAATTCACAGTAACATATACAAGTCCTGGATGTTATTGCATCAGAGATGTAAGCATGGTAATTGCACTACAGCCCTGTGTGAATAATCCGAAGACTTCCTCACAACAACTTTGTGGTCGGACTGCGAAACTTGGGCTACCGATATCCACGCTCGAAATTCCATACTTGTGCCGAAAATATGGTGTGGAACCAAGCTGTAATCAAAAATAAATAAGCAATAAATAACTGAGTTTTAATACAGAACTCAACACAGAAGTCCAACAGCTCGAGTTGTTACATTACACATGAAAAGTATTATATCCAGTTGGTGATAATCAAAATATTTCATCAGATGTGCATAGACTTCGTAAATAGGTTATAGGGTAAAATAAACTAACTCGTGAGATATGACGAAACAAATTGTGAAACTTGTCTCGAGAAATTATTGTAAGATAACTCTTTTTTTCAGTTCTCCTTTCAATAGCTCGACTTAACTTGAGTGAAGCTTATTGTAACAAAAGCTCCGATTCTGTTTTATCCTCATCTTCGGTAAATATCTTCAATTTGTGGTTGTTATGTCATAGTGCATCAATTATTACTGCTATCAAAATGACCTTGTGCAGCCAATCAGATAAGCCCTTGGGGAGAGCGCGCAGTTGGAATAACTTCTAAAATTTTAAAATAGTACGAAATTAGGCGGAGTAAGTGTCATAGCTAAACTTGGGATCTGTGAAAGATTGACCTTAATGAATATATTTATATGACATCCTGAAAGGTTTTTCTACATCAAATCGTTCCTGCTTATCCCAAGGTACTTTTGTTCTGTATATCGATATACAGTGTAGATATACACTGTTAGGTGGAGTTATATTCTCAGGATAATTTTTAATGTTATGACTAGGCTTAAAGTTAGGATAACGGTCAGAGTTCCAATTGCGTTAGACAACACTGTGAAAAATATCAACGTATCTCAAAGTACCATTCTCTACGGTCACCTGGATGAATATATTTATCGCGCATGATATGATTTTCATATAGGTTATCCGTGCAACAGCAAGTGCAATATCATGTTTACAATATTAATGCGTTTTTCAACGATTACGTGACTTTTTCTCATTTGAATTTTTATTGGTCAAGATCACTGACTTTGGTTATGATAATTTAACTTCTCCCCTTAGTATCAGCTTAAACCAATTGAGGTAGATGAATTGATTGAAATTACAGTACATCATAACACTTCAAGGTTTATCAAATGACACACAGTAGTATTTACCTTGGGAATTCTTTTTTGCAGATGACTCCAGGACCCGGGTACCTTCGCGTTAATTTTATCTCTCCTTACAATTAATGCTGATATTGTTGACATATTCAGTGGGACTCACCAATTCCTCGAAGATGTTCGAAGTGTTTTGCTAGAACCATGACTGTTATGTCCATTCCTTATTTTTTTCCCTTCACGTTCCCCAGTGGAACATAAGGCTCCAAGCTAGTGGCCTGAAGTTTCTGTAGCATTGTCTTTAATTTTACGGGATGGGGTCTGTCTGTTTTCGACATAGAACTTTGCACAAATGTGCGGAAGTTCAAGTCGCCACATTCCGTGTAGCACGCGAAGCAAGAGAAGAAAGTACAAGAAAAGCATAATAGAAACAGTGAGCAGAGGTGTGAGACAAAGGAGTAATAAATAAATACAAAACAGTTTCATTGAAGATCATAAGTCACAGGGAGTGGATGCATCTGCGCCACTGAGAACGAGTTTGAGCCATGTCACCAATTGTTTCCAACCATAGATTTTTACCGTCCCGAGGACCCCATCCTGGAAGTCTACACCTTCCTACATGGCTTAGACCAACTGTTGTGGATTTCATTGACTGGCGAGGCCAAGTTTTTGTTTAACCGCCGCTAGCTTTTTTCCAGCCTGACCCTATATCCGCTAACATAGCTCGTCGAGGGAGGCGATGACTTGGCATACGTAACACATGTCCTAACCATCTCAGTCGATGTAGCTTCACGACTTCGTCGATTGATTTCCCCTGTTTACCTAGAACTCTACGCCTAACCTCCATGTTGCTCACCTTATTATGCCACTTTACACGGGAAATAGAACGCAGGCACCTATGATCAAAGGTAGCTAGTCTTTTCATGTCTTCCACTCTCACTGGCCAGGTCTCACAACCATAAAGGAGGACGGAGCGGACTGATGAGCAGTACACCCGCCCTTTGGTCGATAGTCGAACATCTCGTCTACGCCAGAGTCGGCGTAAACTAACAAATGCGAAACGAGCCCCTTGTATTCGTGCTGAGATTTCGTCAGAGGATGGGGTTGCTGGCCTCATGCCCAACCTTTCCTCTTTACCAGCATTATTTCTGGCCTATCTAGGTTTAAGGAGTGCGTCTGTGGCCGGGGATCGAACCTCGGACCATATGCATGGTCGGCGAGCGTCCTAACCGCTATGCCACCGACGCCCATTCCTTATAGTCGCCCATAATACTAGGTAAACGGCTATATCCTCTTCCTTAGCATGTCTCTGAATGGAACTAAACATCAGACATAACGAATAGCTTAAGCCATGTACATAATTGCGTGTATACAGATTGTAATCATCCATGTTTTGCGCAATTTGTCTGATAGTATTTACCTACAATATCTGATATTCAGAAATGTTATCACAGGACCGATATTTCAGACACTTAATAGATTAGCGAAAAATAATTTTAATTCCCTGTCGATAGGGAAGAACTATTTGCGGTAATGCATTGGATTGTGTAGGAAGGGAACGCTGGTGAGTGCCAAGCACCTACAATATTTTGTATTCTTATCAAAATGGGATTTCACAGTTGCTAAACTTCCCAGAATGGGTACACTATAGTGAGGTTGCGTTCATTAGGTTTATAAAATCAGCCTATATTGTGGCATTTTTCCACACATATTGGAAACGAAAGCAGTATTGAATCTGTGAGTTAATGAGCGCATATATTTGTTTTGTCAGAAGCGGAGGCTCACGAATACTGTTCAGTCGCACAAGTATGGGAAAAAGTAGTTGCTTTATGGGTGCATAAATAAACTTCATTTTCAAGGAGTTATCTAGCTTTATATTTGCGTGCTAAGTGCATGCAAAGCAGTATTTTGAGAAAGCAAACTATACATAGGTGTACTGAATACGGAATTTCAAAACCCTGGAATGTAGTCTTAATATTTGTTTGGTAAGTAAACAAAGTTATCCCAGTTATTCCTAACACTACCTCAGCATAAATACAGAGGTTTTTTCCTTTGTGCTGGCAAGATATTTTTTTATTTTCTTTATTATAAACTACGTAGAGAAGTTGTCTGAATAACGCATCGGTGGCACAGTGGTTAGGACTCTCGCCGACCATGCACATGGTCCAAGGTTCGATCCCTTGCCGACGCACATCTGATATCTATGGTCGGCCTGCAAAATTTGGGCTACCGATATCCACGCTAAAAATTCCATACTTGTACCAAAACTACAGCTGTAATCTAAAATAAAAAAATAAAATAAAAATTTTGGAGACTTTTATTAAAGTGGTCCAAACTGTACTGCAACGTCGCAAGTGTTTTCATTCCTTCCAGCAACGAGCAAATTTACTTGATAAAATCGGTATTATTTTCATTTTTAGTCATCTTCGAATTCCTGGACATTTTTACCCACCTTTATTTAGTTATTCTTTCTTTCTGCACTGCAACACCACTTTGTTTTCGTTCTGCTAAACTGTTAGTCAAATGTCAAGTAATAGCGACTTTAGCAGATGCGAAAATGGTAATTATTATTCATGCAACAGCACAAGTTGCTACAGCTTTTTTGCTCTTGATTCAGCTTGGAGACCTTACGTAGGGAATGATTCGTTGCTTAGTGTATTCGCAATTAATAGAAAATTGTGACTGTGATATCTGGGTGCCGCATCATCTGTATCAAATACCGGTACAAATTTTAGCCTATTAGCATCTTTTAAATCCTCAGCATAATAATGTTACCAGTGGTATACTCGTATCCAAGGCTCGTACAACTGTTAGAGTTATTTATTCCTTAAGAAAACTAGTGGTTCTTTTATTACATTTACTTTTCCTGATAGTTTTAAGTACAGTTGCAGAATAATCCCGATTTATTTTATTTCAAGATTATTTCGAATAATTATTTAATGACACTATTCTTACGTTAGAAGTAAACTGCAAACTTATAGCACGGTAGAAGAATTAAAAATGAATAAAAATGAACAAATAGGACTTTTAATTATGTTGCCGAAAAATGAAGTAAAATGGATGAAAACTGTATTCCCTCAGTAAACAACTGCAAAGGTTGAAGAGTCACAAAATAAATATCATTCAATGAGTAAACGTCCCTGGCGAAAATTACGTTAAGCGCTTGTAGCACAAGTCTTTTGTATTAGAACGTTACGTACGTTATGGTATAGATCTAGTCAGTAGGGATGAATAATACTACCGTTATAATAGACAGTAAAGAAAGCTTTCCTAATATGAGTTTGAGTACTACCTGAAAATTTATAGTCTGTACGCATTATCAAGAAGTGAAAATGGCCCCATGTCATGCTTTGAAGTTGGTTTCATGCCTGTCTGTCAAAATTTCCACAAAATACTTCGTATTAGTAAAAGTCTGTTTATATGTACTGTTTTGCATGTACTAATTCATGATGTTTTAATATAGTGTCGTACTGTACATTAGAGTATCACTTTTACCTGAAGTATGTCCCTTACTTATTCATTTAAAGTGACTCATAATATTGCAGATAATCCGAAATCATATTGTTTCCTTTCTTCAGCCAGAATTCATTCGATTTATATCATTCGACTTTGTAAGTACCCTTATTGTATTTTGTCGTGTTTTGCTTTATTTTTTTTATTCCTTCACGCTCCCAATGGAACATAGGGCTTCAAGCTAGAGGCTCTGTAGCAGTGTTTATTTTTACAGGATAGGGTTGATAGCCTCATGCCCGACCTTTCCTCTCTACCAGCTTTATTACTGGCTTAGCGAGGTAGACGATTGCGTCGGCCGGGGATCGAACCCCAGACCACATGCATGGTCGTTGAGGGTCCTAACCACTGTGCTACCGACGCACTTATTTTTTAATTTAAGGCTTTTTATTTAAACATTAGCTTTATATCCTAGATGTTACACAGTACAGTAGGGTTGTAGTTCTAGCACGTAAGATGTTTCAGTCAGCTCTGTAATTGACTAATGAAAGTCATTGTTTGCATCTCTTCCCCGGATTGGTATTTGTGTATTTCACTTTAACATTATTCAGTTTTGTAATATTTTTAAATAAAAATGTTTGTCTGTAGGCGTGTTAGCCTCATTTCCTATAACACTTCTCGAATATAAATTAGTACTATTGATCATTTGTATGTATGGATGTAGCGTAGCCAGTTTGTCTGTATTCGACTAAATGTAAACATTTAGTGTTTAGGAGAAAATGATTTAAAACCATGTATTTATTGAGGTCTTATTTAAATGACTCATTTTTATCTTATACAATGACATTAAAGATATGTAATAGTTTTACTAACATGATCTTAATTTTCTGTGGGCTTTTTCACTCATGTACATCAAACAAAATCGGTATGATAAACTATTCACATTTAACGCTTGTTTACTATGAAGTTCATTCTCTACTGATAAACCTCAGATAATTCACTCGAAACAATTATCCCAACTGGATATCAGAAATGTTCACCTGTTTCCTTAAAATCAGAAGAAGATGTAGTCTTTACAATAATCCTTTACGAGTTTTGTCTACTTCAAGTAATGCGGAGTTGTCTTACATGCAAAAACAGTATTCTATGCTGGACAAAGAATGCAAGGGTAAGATATAAGTTTGTGACATTAAAAACGATTAATGTATATAGTGGTTGTGGTCATTTTTACACAAAAGTCGGTCTTCATTTAACAATTATACTGAATGTATAATTAAAAGCTGTTCTTAGTCATCATTATTGAGTGTTATGGTTTCCCCTAATTCACTTATCCTCACTAATGTCATATTATTCAGTCTTCAACTTAGGCTCATCTACTATATGATATTCCTATATAGGTTTTCTGCCAGAATAACTATTATATACTATGAGTGTATTAGATGGTTGGAGTCAATCGGCAGGAAGCCTTGGACCTAGGTTTCGTGCTAGTTGGCACTCATCAGCAAGGAACTCATGTCCCTTCTGAGATTCGAACCCGCGTCACCTAGTGCTGCAGTCAGAGACGTTTCCACTGAGCTATTTGGGCTCGCGATTGACGCCTTGCTGATGAGTGCCAACTAGCACGAAACCTAGGTCCAAGGCTTCCTGCCGATTGACTCCAACCATCTAATACCATCAAATCAATGTACACCGTGATGGCGAGCTAGGTAGAATGGTGGTCACATTACAACCTGACTGGTAGAATTCAGTCGACACCAATCAGAGGACTAGACGCATCACACTAGTTACTAGTATCGAATATACCATGAGTGTAAACTGCAATATTGAGTTTTTATACTTCTGTTGCTACTTTTTATATCAATTTATCCCAATAAGAATCTTATACGAAAGCAATCAAATTAGCTGCAGACATATAACAGAGTATTATGATTTTTCAAGCAGTGGAGAATACATCTCATCTGGTATTTTGAATGTTTTATCTCTGCACAATAAATATTTCTATGCCTGTCCTAACATTCGCAAAACTCACGTGATACTGAACGCCAATTTAAACGCTTAAGCCAGTCGAAATTACTGTCATAAAGTGCAGATATCACCGCACAATTTCGTGCTGGCATATGGAAGTGTTAATACTTCACAGAATTATAATTTATTCTTGCTCTATATGCGCTATATTTAAATTATATTATTTGGTCCTTATACTTAACATCACCATCCAAGTCATCAAATAACAAGTGGCACATCGAGGTCAGTTCTGTGAAAAAATAGGTCAAACCTTTGCAGTTTGAATAATAAAATGTAAACTTATAGCTTACCTCCACTTTTTAAATGACTGGTGATTCGCAACTTCTCCGACTGGCATTATCTAAGGAAAAAGGTTAATATCTAGTAGGAGTCTAATACTGTTCATTAATCCTTGCTGAAAGTGTCAATGTGTAAATTTAGTTTCCAATCGATCTCCTTAACTGAAACAGACAACTTTGTTTTTCTTAGCAGACAGCTTTAACGACTTAACATTGAACTGCATGGGAGAATAACGATTCCATTGTGACATTCAAACCTTTTTATTGTGAATTTGAGAATAATTTGTTGAATGGCGTGAAATAGTAACATTTGATGTGAATGCTGGTTGGTTGATATATGTATCTTGAAACTGGATTATTTTCCATTTCTAGAACGTGTAAGTACTTTGGATCCAGTCAATCCTCGGGATATATTTGTAAATAATGAAGTAAAACTGGGAAAAGTTCAAGTTTATGGCTTCGATTATGATTACACGCTAGCTCACTACACATCTGAACTGGATAAATTTATTTTCAATGAATCGCGCACCTGGCTTGTTGAGCAAATGAAAGTTAGTCATCATTCAACTATTATATTGTATTTAACAGTAAATATCCTCGAAGTATTGCTTAAGACCGCTCATAAATTCTAGGTATTTATTTAGAGTTGTTTGGATATACCATTACTTTGCACTTTTCAGATGTTTCATTAATTCTGATAATAATAATAATAATAATAATATAATCGTGATTCCGCTCTCACTAACTTCCGAATTTACTCAACAGACGTAATTCACTGGGGAAACGAACAGGATTTCCTCAACTTCACACACCATTGTAGGTTTTAAGACTGAGCATTAGATCTCCAAACCATTCAGAAACCATATCGTTTGGCATTCGCTCACGGGGGTTACTGTCTGACTGTAACCATTTAGTTTTATATTCTTGGCAATATTAACTGTTGGTATTCATAGCTATTCCATGAACTAAAGTTGGACACTACAAGTCAAAACTTTTCACTATTATTCTATACACTTGAACGCAAACTTGATACAGATGCACCATAAAACAACAGTGAAATACAGTGTATAGGGAAGAAATATGATAATTGAGGAACAGCAGACAAGCATCGTTTTCGCTAACATTGAAGGAGGGTTCATTGTTTCATATTATTTTCAGAAAGAGAGGAAAGGAGAGAATCACAGAATTTTCACTATTGATACCAATTCTGACAACACCTCAGGATATTGATTCGGACAATCTCTTGAACTGTGCCCAAGGATTTATAGTGGGCAATCAGATACCAACCTAAAAAAACTAGTAAGACTAAAAGCCTATCCTCCTTTACTTAAGTTTCAATGACCCCTTCACTTGTCAGTTTGTCACAAAAGTGATTTCTTGGATCTGAGTGTTATATTCTGTCAATCTCCTCCTTGAACATATATGTCTTCTGCGTATTGTAGATCAACGAGGCTTTTACGCCACCGAAAATCGATTCCGGAAACATATACGTTGATGAAAGTCATATCCATTCGTGCACTCATAATGGAATTAAATAAGGGTGGTGACAGCATGAATCCTTGACGAATAATACTTGTTAATGTCTCTTCAGATGATAGTTTTCTATAGACACTTATATAATTAAACAAATTTGAATAAGTACCATAGCATCTGACGGCTAACTGAATTAAAAACAACCTTCAGACCAAGAAATATGACAAGTTTCGGACACCAGTGAATCTGCCTGTTTTTCAGAATCCACTGAAAGATAAGGATATATTATTACACCATCGTTCGAGCCCAATAACCGTAGACTTCACTTTTCCTCCTTAGATTACGTAGTTTATAAAGACAAAGTAAACTAGCTCAAAAGATTCTTGGTTCCTCTAATCAAATTCCCACGCAGCTGTGCGCTTAAATCTACCCACTTGTAAGATAAACGGATAATTACAACATTTTATGGTAGGGTTTCTTTCAGCCGTCCTTATATAACGGTGTGACAGGATTCTGTTTTAAATGAAGGTAATGAATGGATGTATTCAATCTGTTGTAGTTGATCTTCAGCCATGTTATCTGGTCTTTGCTTGCTAATTCCTAATTTCTTTTGAATACCGTTCAATTAATGTCCACTGTTTGAATTGAAAACTAAGGCTTATACTGCTCCTGAGTTCATCCGATTAGTAATACTTCTTTATATTTGAACGTAATCCTGTAATGGTATATTATTCCGCATAATGAATAGCCTACATCTCCACTGACGTTAAATATAGGCTATTGGTTTTCACTGCTTTAGTAAACCCACTAAGCTGAAGGCACTCAGTCAAGCACCAGTGCTCATTTTGGCATTCACTTGTATTGTGCTTAGTTGTCCGTGCACGAGCTAGGTACTCACCTTGTCTAAGAAGACCAAATTTTTTTTCTTGTTTGTTTTCGCTAGCTATTTCTCGTTCAAATCTATAAAATTGAAAATTGGTTAGAAAATAACATACTCATGCTATAATCGATGTCGTGTTACTCAAAACTCCCTTCACACACTTACACTGTATCAGAATTTATGTAGTGTATATAATCTAGCCATATAAGATGAGCAAAGTAATTACCGATGACTCCTCTTTCACTGAATATCGAAAATTGATAATTTTTAAATTTTTAAAGGCCTTCACATCATCTATTGAATAGTAATATATACTCTCCCGTTTTCCTAGTATTTTCTGCAACTTGCATTGGTTAATAGTATGTACCATAATTTCCATTTTATTTTGTTATTCTTTGTTTTGAAAGGGACCTAAATCATTTTTATTTTATTTTACCTTTTGTACATAAACTACTCTCACAAAATGGAATCTTCAACATCTTAAGTATCCTGAAGAAATTCTGAACTGTGATTATGTGGAATTTGCCAGGCGTGGTTTACATTTTGATGTAAAAAGGGTATGTTCACACAGTATTTGGGTTCATATTATTTTCTTAGTCACGTTTTAAAAAGAATTAGATCCAAACTTATTTTTTCTTTAGTGGCTTTAGGATGCTATATCTGTCTGTATCTTTGTACTCATTACAGTACCTCAGGTTTCGTGCAGAATATGTAACTGTATCGGTTAACAAGTTCACTTCCTATTTACTCTTTATTTAAGCAACACAAATGATGGGACTTAGAATTAAAATTTATTGTTTACGTTTCTTCACAACTGCAGGGTTACTGTGTAGTTTATAGAAAGTATTATTGCAGAGGAGAATACGAATTCCATCTGCAGCTAGACTTTGTTTTATCAGACTGGAGGTGATCACGCGGTGGACAGCACCAACGTATTCAAGGCAGTTTAGAGTATCCTTCTGATTGTTTTTTTTTCGATAAATTTCGTTCGCATCTTTTGCTATTAACTTAGCTTACAGACCTTTAAACAATCGCGCTGTTCTTACTCAGACGAAATTCGCTCAGTTCCATTTCCTACATTCGGTAAAGCATATTTGTTTCATTTGAAATGCTCTTATAACTAATTGTTCGTTAGTCTTTGGCTATCTCTTTGATATTTTCATTCAGACTTCTTTAGTATCATAAGAACCTATTGGTTTGGTACTCAATTACCCGGAATAAATATTTCATGTACGCCAAACTATATGTCTCATACATTATGTGAGAGCTGCTAATGCCACCAAGTTGCACAAGTTCAAATAGGTGGGGAGGGATTTGAATTCTGGACTCCGTTGTTTGAGATGGCAGAACTTCCTTATTTAAAGCTGTAGTAGTAAAAGTAGTATTTTTTTCCTTCACGTTCCCAGTGGAACATAGGGCTTCAAGCTAGTGGCTTGAAGTTTCTGTAGAAGTGTTTATTTTTTTAAAGGATGGGGTTGGTGGCCTCATGCCCAACCTTTCCTCTCTACCAGCATTATTTCTGGCTTAGCGAGGTAAAGGGGTGCGTCAGCCGAGGATCGAACCCCGTACCATGTGCATGGTAGGCGAGCGTCCTAACCTCTGTATCACCGACGCATAGTTGTAGTATTACATTTCCTAAAAATTAACTCTTCATTTATTTCCCTGCAGTATCTACTCTTTTTTTTGTAGGGACTATTAATGAAAGTAGACGCTTTCCATCATATTCAACTGGATACTGTTCATCGTGGCTTTACACTCCTATCACTGAATGAAATCCTAAATGTTTACCGTGGAATTCATCTGGCTAGTGATGTTTTGAAACAAAAGATAACACCCAGTGTAAGTATTACCATTGCCATCACATAATAATCGATTTTAAATGGTATTTTTCGTCACCCGTTCTAACAACTAATTCTATTTTGAGATCAAGTACTAAATTCGATTTTCAGGACTGTATTGTATGTTTTCACTATGATGTAGAATAGTTTTGTGTTCTCTGACATAAGTTATAGTCCGATGATGTATGCTGTTGAGAAGTCTACAGTTCCACCGAAGGATTTATTTACAGACAGCATAGTTTCGACTGTCCCTTCAACTGACTTTCAGATTTATAATTCCCTTCGAAATACAGCTTCCTTAGTGTCTATTCTTTTTGTATAGTGTTTTGATTGCTTAAAAATATTTGTATAAAGAGAAAGTTATAGAAAACAAAATTTTCTTCTTGACGAAGTCATCAACTAGACTCTCCATTCGGGCATTTGTAGTAAATAGGTGAGAAACCCCCAGAAATATTTTCCATCAAAGGATCAATTAACAAAATTACAAAGTGTAACAAACAGGAACATCGGATAGAAAACATAGTAGGATCATAATGACCGAGAAACTTGACTCCGTGAAATTAAGGATTAAAAACTTAGCAAGACCAAAATAGATAGGAAGTCCGGATAAAATAACACATAGTAATGCAGATAGGAATTTAAAAGCCGACCGTAAAAATAACAGAAATAAACAGGATGGCTGGATAAGGAAGGTAATAGATAAGTCGTTATTGGGGGGACTGACTTTTAATGATGACCCCATGGTTGGTAGAAACCATAAGTTGGACGTATTTCTTTTGAATACAAATAGTGTGGGCTTGAACTTCTCGATCACTAATGCCTCAGCTATTCCCAGATGTCTAGATTTCACTGCCTTTGGTAGGTTTCACTGGATCTTGTGTATAACTTTGAAGGACTTTTCAAATGGAGCTGAATGTCTTGAATTCACCAGATGTTCTGTTACCGAACTATGTACGCCTTTTTGTTTTGCCTTTGTTAATCATGGTGGATAGTGATCGCGAGAGCATTTTACAAATGGACGCATGGTATAACCATTTTCCTTAGCTCCATACGATCAAGTGAACTGGTATATATATGTTGAGGTTGAAAAGGTGTCGTTGGTGTAGTGTCTTTTATAACTGTATGAACTCAAACAGAATTCATTCAAAAGAATATAGGGATATTTCAAATTCTTATATTGTTAGAATCGTTTTATTTTGTCTCAGTATATTTTGGAAGTAGTCAAGAATATTTTTTTTATGTATCTATAAACGGTTCACTGTCTAATGTAAGTTGAATGAATTCAAATTATTTTGACCCCCTTAAATGATTATTCAGCAGTTTGCCAACTGTTAAATATGATTTTGTTTAACTTTTTTCTTGAATGCAACATTTCAAATAGTAGAGAAAAGAATTTAATTTGTGGATGGTGGCTAGCAGTGGAATCCAGGATGCGCATTTCGTCCCATTTTGGACTCGTCACCTGGATGTACCTGCATCCCCTAGTGAGTGATGATGTTCCCACCGAGGCTCGAACCCAGTGCCCTTCGTTTCAAACGCCAAAGCGTTTATCCACTAAACCACTTGGGCCACGAGAGCCACCTCTTGTGCAACGGGTCATTTTAATTTAATTGAATTTAAGGTAGAGAAAAGCACTGAAATAATTTTACACTTTTGACGCACGTTGTATATAAATATATATATATATATCTTTTTAGGATACTGTTATGCTTCAGTTAATGGATTTCTTTCGATTGCCAGAAATCAATCTTCTCTGTTCAATCATCGCTGTAAGTCATCATAATATCCATGCAGCTGTTTTCTTCATGTATTTCAGTCTCACTACAATTTGTCGTGTTATTTGTTTAAGACGACTCTCGTTTTCTTAGCCAACAGTTTACTACAAGCAAAGAATCAAAATGTTTTAATTATTTATATTGCAATATATATATATATATATATATATATACTTCTGAATACACATTTAAAATAAGCAACAAATGCTATTTAAGAAGTATTTATTTGTCAGTTCATAGATTGCTGTAAGAATACTCCACTTTTTTTACTCTACATACAAGATTTTATATACTGAGTAAATAAAGGAATACATATATGCATTCTAAGACATCGAATATGAAGTTTTTCGGATTGGACGCAGATTAGCATGATATTCTATATTACAGATTGCTTGATATGGATAGTTGGGGACCATACATGTCAAACAGTAGTGCTAGTTAGTCAGATAGAATCGATATAAACACGGGACAGACAATTAGCTTGTTCACTGTTGTGCTGAACAGTGGTATACCCGGTCCAACTCAGCTCAGAGAGGCGAATCAGTTCAACCTACTCGAATTTTTATTGTCTACTTTGGCATCGAATCGAATTCTTCATTTGCACTTAACACACTTCGAGGTGACAAACCATTACGGTTTCCTTTGGGAGTTAAGCTATCACAAATTGTAATCAAAACAGCAACCAAAATAGAGTGGTACTATATACCACTGATTGCTTGATATGAGTAGTTGGGGAAACGGTTTACGTTGAGTAGTACTGCTTGCCAGCCATTATTAATACAGTTACTAAGTTACTGAATGAATAATATCGTTTTAAATAGATTAGTTAGAGACCAACGGAGGGGTGTTTGACACTACTGAACAACCGAAAAATCATAAGCGCTACGCTAACTAAATATGCTGATTGAAATAATAACACTAATAATGGGAATAATAAAGCTTACCATACTAATAACGTTGAGGTTAGCAGTATGAACTGCAAAATATGATGAATTAATTAATTACATAACTTCGAATAGACCAAGTAAAATCGATTAAGACTCTTGGTGGCAAAATGAACCTGAAGAAACATCTGAAAACTAATGGGAAATTGATGTCAGACAGTGATAGTAAAACGCTAAATAAATAGCTAAGGTGGGTTCAAGAGTTTCAAAACTATGAGAACACAAATGGACTGAAACGAAAACAGGAACAAAAATTGGGGAAACATAAACAGATATTCATTGTGCACTTAGATCTCTACCATAATGACTACTATTTTTATGCACAATGCTATGGTTCAGGAACTAACATCATGTAAGCCTCGTAATAACCTAGAAAGCCTTATTGACATCAATGTTGTGTTGGTATCCCACTAAACGTCTCGTTATGGAGCTTCGTGGGATCTCCACCTCAGTTTGTATTTCCTTCCAGAAGTAAATTCTCATTGTTCTTTACGGTTTCACATATTGAAAACTGATATAATATCTTTCCGTGGTTTTTGTATCACCGGTTAGTTGTGCTTAGCGGTTAGAATTTAGCTGCGTAGTAAGCTCGTCTAATGGTAACTGTAACAATTTACTTTGTTTGCAAATTACACTCCTAATTACATATAACAATAGTTTAAGAATATTGCGTCATAGTAGATGGTAGTCAGTTGCTTCATCCGTGATTACAAATTTATATGTTAATCACCAAATTTTGACTGTTTAAGGAGTCCAGTGTGTGTTTCTGAAGAGGTTCAAACTAGAATGGAACTACTATCCACTGTTGCATTATCAGTGCCGAACCGTTATCATGAATCTGAATAATGAATTATTCAACAAGTCCTTGACCGAGATACATACAATTAAACAGCTGTACTGAAAGTGTGATTTCCAAAAGGTTCAATCAGTCATAGACTGTTTTGTTCCACTGACCAAGAGAAAGATTACTTTGTAACAACAGAAGACAAGGGTCAGGCAACATATCGTATATTATGGAAATCAATACATATTTATAGATTTTCATGTACATCCTATAGATTATTGTTTGCAGAAAACACAGTCTTCTGATTGGTTGTTTCTCACAGAAAGTTAACCTTGCATCTCTTTGTGGCTGTTTCTCAAACGTTAGATCAACTATATGCTAATTGTATCCGCCTACACAAAGGCTTTGTTCTCATTTTTCTCACGACCAATATTGGGGACGTGTACACATTGACGTAAATTACTGTCCACCAATTTTGACTAACAGCCAGCTCTCACCACAACTTTAACAAGTCATGTAAAAGATTTAGGCGAAATAGAAGTTGTTTGTGATTCCTCTCGTACTGTTACAATAAAATGCAAGAAGGCATTATTTCTCGACTATAAACTATCATGTGAAAGTTAGCTTCGATGCTTCAAAAAAAGCATAGCAATATTTCAACGCATTCAACTGTTATTTGACTCCGTGTTACTATAAGGAATGAAACCGTCATTTTCTTCCTGCTCAACGTGGAAAGATGACAACCTGGCGATTTGGTTTACGACAATCTTCCATCAACTGGAAATTTCTCAATATTTTTCTCCACAAATCGTTCCCACCTAGATAGCATAATCTTACTTAAAGTGCTTTGACAATGCTTATCCACGACCCCATGAGACATGAATTCTAAAACTAGTAGCTCACATGATGAATACGTAATAATCCAGTCAAAAACTTGGTTTCATCAGTCCCCGAGTCTAGTCACCTCTCAAGGCCACCGATGAGTGTCTTTCGCCACACTCATGACTTCAAACGTCACTTCTTTTCAGGTATTTTAAACTTATTTCTATGTGTCGTGTGAAAAAAATCTTCACCTGATGAGGCAGTTATGGACATCATTTTGACTGGGAAAATGTAGGGATTTTAAACAGTGGAAACACTAAAAATGCCAGGGAATTCCTAAAAGACTAGTCTTCAGATAACTCAGGGACCAACAGACACAGTTTTAAATCAAATTTATCAACTAATAGAAAATAAGCCAAATGACGAAAAAGTCAAATTCTAAGCCAGAACTAACGCAAATTAACAACCAGTCACAACAAATGTTGTCAGAAGATACACTTATATCATTCACACAGAAATGAGATAAGTTCATTTCATGCTGCAGTTTGCGCTGCATATGTTGTCTAGAAAGACAATGGAAGATTTGCAATCATAAACCATTTATCTAGGAGAACACAGAAACATCCTAATAATTCATCATTTGTTATCTTGAATTATCTTTGGTTTGGAACTGAAATGTTAGAGGATTTTGACCACAAACGGTTTCGATCAATTAGTCTCTTTAGATGGCAAAGCGTGATAAGTAATACTGATGTTCTGCACGTAGGGTATTCACTGGATGAATGGGAATAGTAGTAATGGTAATAGCCTTATTCTGAACCATGTTTACATAATGTACAGAATTTTCGGTAGAGTTTATTGCATGATATTTTCTCCTCGTCTAGGATCTTCAAATAAAAGATTAACTGACAGCAGTTCGTGTGACACAGTTCTATCTGACCTTAAGCGCAAACCAATTCGTTAAGACATCTCTTCTTTTTCTCCTTCGAGAAATACATGACATTTTGTTGAATACCAATTATAAATATTTCAGGAGTACATTCTATGAACCAAGGACACAACGCAGAAACGGTCACCTCATGCATGGGGATTAGCAGGTATCGAGTATAATGCTTTTCCCCATGTTCAGTAGAAACCTGCAAATCAACAGGTTGTAAGTGTTTTAAGTACACACCAGAGTGAATAATACTATTAGAGGTCATATTTTGCCAGATTTAAACAAACTGAATAAGAGAAACTAAGTGCAATATATCGATGGAGGTCTTCAGTAGCGTAATTTTTAAGCAGGCTGTCACTAATTGATGTTATGAATTGGTAATTGGAGTCTACTCCTAACACATTGTATTCATTCTTTTCATCTTTTAGATTCTGGAGGTATTCACTGCTTTTCATTAAATTATTCTGTCACCCATAGATTGTCATCCATTGTGTTTTCTTTACACCCTTTCTCCTTACTTTCATATATGCTTTTCTGAAGTTTTCTGCCACTTAAGTTGTGACGCCCCTTGTACATCGTAGAAAGAAGCCAAATTTCATTCTCATTTCAAATGTTTTGTTAGCATTTACTGGTCAACCTTTTCAGCTATCTGTATTCAAAACAGTAGGAATTCTAACTGGACTACTCTGTTTTTATAACTATTGTTTCAATATATATATATATATATATATATATATATATATATATATATATATATATACTGCGCTACTGGTTTTGAAATACCGACTTGTTGTTTCTTTTTCAGTTTTTCGATAGAAGTGGTATAAACTACAAACCTGTGTATGTTTATCAAGATGTTTCTGTAAGTCCTGTTGTCGATGAGCACTCATCAATTATTCGTGTTCATTTTTTCCACTTGTTCTTTTAAGATATTTCATAGTCTGATTGTATAGATTAGTTTCCTTGTTGAATTTGCTTTTTATCTAATTCTCCTTTGATTTAAAACGTATCTCAGAGTCTATCAAATGATAATTATGTCGCACTGGGAGAAAGTGGGTCGGGATTTGTTTTTATATACCTACTTGGGTTGTTTTTCATGAAATGGAAAAACCTGAATGTACGGTTTACATTGTTAGTCATGCTTAAATCGGAGAAAAAGTCACATCAGTAGTGAATTTGGTTTTCAGAAATAGAGTTTATTTGATCGAATCAGTGTACCAAGCTTTTGTTCTACGGTTATATTATGGGTGAAATTTGATTATTGACCCTACCTATATCAGTATGGATAAAATTTCATTATGATAAAGTCACACAGTGTTATACAGTATTATTTACTGATGACGTCTCGAGCACAATTTACTGCTCATATCATATCAAGTTAGTCGTATGACTTTCCTGCTTAGTTTATATACATGAGTAAAAATTGATTAGACATTTGAATAAAATCAGTATAAGACTTGCGTGAAACAGAAAGCAAGATAAGGTACACTCGGAACCAATATTAGTATTATCAATACATATGATATGATGAGAATTAAGACAAGTGTTGTTAATCAATAAGATGGGAGGTCAAACTAGTAGGTCAGGATTAGTGAGATTATCAAAACATAATGTTGATAAGTAATTTAAAAAATAAACTCAGAAATCGCACTGCATGCATTAACACACAACCACACAAAAGTGTGGGACAGAGTCAAAATTCTGAAAAGTAATGTAGGTGGGTGGAGAGAGAGATTGATTAATGAATCCTGTTTCATCGAGTCCACACCTAACACATGCAATCGAAGTGACTCAACGCAAATACCAGCATTGTGTAAGATATTATTACCAGTTAAATTAGAGGATAATAAATTCACATTATAACAAGTCACTTATTTTTACTATAAAAAATATCTTATTTCCCATCTTATTGACGAACAACACTCATCTTAATTCTCATCATATTATATTAACTGATAACTCCAGTATTGGTTCCGAATGTACTTTGTCGTATATTGATTTTGTTCAAATGTCTAATCAATTTTCACTCATGTATGCAAATGAAGCAAGCAAGTTATACGAGTAACTTGATAAGATTATGAGCAATAAATTGTGCTCAAAATGTCGTCATCAGTTAGTATTACTGTATAACAGTATGATTTCTCAAAATAAAATTTTATCCATAATAGAGTCATACTCTACCACAGGGCCCAAGTTTTATCCTGAGACCTATACCAGTGTTGGTGATTGATTCTTATATTATGAGCATTTTGTCACTGTCTATTTTAACACTTACTTTTATTGTATGGAGGATTTCACCATGAGCTGACATCAGTTAGAGAACTACTTGAAAACTTACTTTTATATTTAATATAGGTGGAGAAGGAACTTCTAAAGCTACTAAGAACTAATTTTTAGCGTCAACAAATTTCTTGCTAACTAGTTTCTATTAGATATGATATGTTATCTGTCTGTCTGGATTCAATATAGAACTTATTTATTTATTTTTGCTCACAGCTTGATTCCACACTGTATTCTTGGTACAAGTATGGAATTTTCAGCATGGATATCGGTAACCCAAATTTTGCAGGCCGACCATAGATATCAGGTGTGCATCGGCAGGTGATCGAACCTTGGACCATGTGCATGGTCGGCGAGAGTCCTAACCACTGTGCCACCGACGCACCGAAGTGCAGCAGTTCGAGTTGCCCCGTTCCAAATAGCCCACAAAGGTAGACAAGAAGATGAGTGAAGAGAATCAATAGAGTTTGACAGGTATAAGAGCGAAACAGAATGGGTAATGGTAGAAAAAAATATGAAAGATTACAGAGACTGAATACATCTGCGCTGGCCATTGACAACGATTTTGAGCCATGTCACCTATTGTCTCCAGCCATTGATTCCTAGAGTCCCGAGCGCCCCAACCCGGAAGTCTGCATCTCCCTACCTGACTCAGTTTAACTGTCAAGGATTTCATTAATTAATGCCATGTTTTTGTTTGGCCACCACTTACTCTTTTCCAACCTGCACCTATATCAGCTAGTAATGCCCGTCGGCGGGGTGAGGCGATGGTTAGGCATGCGCAGCACGTGACCTAACCATCTCAATCTATGTAACTTTATAGCCCCGTCGATTGATTTTCCCTCTTTGCCCAACACTCTACGCCTAACGTCAACATTACTTACCTTATTGTACCACCTAACGTGAGACAGAGATCGCAGACATCTATGATCGAAAGCAGTCAACCTTTTCATGTCTTCAACTCGTATTGGCCATGTTTCAGAGCCATAGAGAAGGACGAAGCGAACTGATGAGAAGTACACACGTCCCTTGGTTGATAACCGGATATCACGCCTACGCCAGAGATGGTGTGAGTCAGCGAAAGCAGCTCGAGCTTTTTGGATCCGCGCTGAGATTTCGTCGCCAATCAGTCCGTTGGTGCTGATACAACTTCCCAAATAGGTGAAGTGGTCAACATGTTCTATCACTTCACTCCCTGTCACTAGGTTAGGAGTTGACGTAGTCCAGTTCTGTAGCAGCACCTTACATTTTGCAGGGGTGAATCGCATGCCAAACATACGAAGATTGCTGCTCAAAGTGTTCAGAAGACTCTGTCTCATTTTGTCAGAATTCTCCCCTAACAGGACTATGTCATCTGCATATTCTAAGTCCATAAGACTATTCCCTGGTAACAAGTCGATTCCCAAGTAGTTACGTTCAGTTAAGAATACTTCCATCAGCATATCTATGATGAAGTTCTGTCTCTGTCTGTCTGTTTTCGACGTAGAACTTTGCACAAATGTGCGGAAGTTCAAGTCGCCACATTCCGTGTAGCACGCGAAGCAAGAGAAGAAAGTACAAGAAAAGCATAATAGAAACAGTGAGCAGAGGTGTGAGACAAAGGAGTAATAAAGAAGGACAAAACAGTTTCATTGAAGATCATAAGTCACAAGGAGTGGATGCATCTGCGCCACTGAGAACGATTTTGAGCCATGTCACCAATTGTTTCCAACCATAGATTTTTACCGTCCCGAGGACCCCAGCCTGGAAGTCTACACCTTCCTACGTGGCTTAGACCAACTGTTGTGGATTTCATTGACTGGATGCCAAGTTTTTGTTTGACCGCCGCTAGCTTTTTTCCAGCCTGACCCTATATCCGCTAACATTGCTCGTCGAGGGAGGCGATGGCTTGGCATACGTAACACATGTCCTAACCATCTCAGTCTTTGTAGCTTCACGACTTCGTCGATTGATTTCCCCTGTTTACCTAGAACTCTACGCCTAACCTCAATGTTGCTCACCTTATTATGCCACTTTACACGGGAAATAGAACGCAGGCACCTATGATCAAAGACAGCTAGTCTTTTCATGTCTTCCACTCTCAGTGGCCAGGTCTCACAACCATAAAGGAGGACGGAGCGGACTGATGAGCAGTACACCCGCCCTTTGGTCGATAGTCGAACATCTCGTCTACGCCAGAGTCGGCGTAAACTAACAAATGCGAAACGAGCCCCTTGTATTCGTGCTGAGATTTCGTCAGAGATCAGCCCGTTGGGGGCTGATGGTACTTCCCAAATAAGTGAAGCGGTCAACGTGCTCTACCACTTCACTTCCTATTTTTAAACTAGGCGTCGATGTAGTCCAGTCCTGTAACATCATCTTGCATTTGGCGGGAGCGAATCGCATGCCAAACATTCGTAGATTGCGGCTCAAGGTGTTTAGAAGACTCTGCATTTCGTCAGCGTCTTCGCCTAGAAGGACTATATCGTCTGCATATTCCAAGTCAACGAGATTATTCCCTGGTAGCAAGTCAATCCCTGAGTCGCTGAAGTCACCTAGGGTTAAGTCCATTAACACATCTATGATGAAGTTGAATAGAAAAGGAGATAATGGGCATCCTTGACGGACACCACTGGTCGTCATCAGTTCAGATGACAGCTCGCCGTAAGCCCTCACCTGGCTGTATGAGTACGAGTAGAGTGCCTTAATCAGTGCAATATATTTTCTCGGAATTCCCTTTACAGCCAAGCATCTCCAGAGAACTTCCGATCGACAGAGTCGAATGCTGCCTTTAGGTCAAGAAATATAATGACTGTTGGACGCCGGTAGGAATGCCTATGTTCTAGAATCTGTCGGAGGGTGAAGATATGATCAATACACCCTCTTCCTGGTCTAAAGCCTGCCTGGCTCTCTCGTGTTTGTGCTTCCCGAGCACCACTCAGTCTACGCATGATTATTGAGCCTAAGACTTTAGATACTATATTAGTCAAGCTAATCCCTCTGTGATTATCACAGGAAGACTTGTCTCCCTTCTTGTATATGGGGATAATCAGTGACTTACACCAACCCGATGGGACTTCTTCTGATTCCCAGACGCTGCCTAGTACCTCAGTTAATCCAGACAGTAAGCTGTCTCCACCGTACTTAAATACCTCTGGAGTCATTCCATCAGGTCCCGCTGCTTTGCCTAGTTTCAGATTGGTGACAGCTTTAGTAACCTCAGTTAGTGACGGAGGACCTGTGTCTATATCCCATTCAGGGAGGTGTTGGATGCTCGGAAGGTTGAGCGTGGCTGTGGGCAAATTAAACTGCTCCTCATAATGCTCTTTCCAACGATCCAGTCGTCTATCCTGGGAGCTAATTATAGTGCCATTTTTTTCCGAGATTGTCTCACTAATGATTTGTCTTCTCCCACCCGTTTCCCTGATGAGTCCAAAGAGTTGCCTGGTGTTGCCTATCCTCGAAGCTTTCTCCATCTCTTTGGCTTTTGTCGCCCACCACTGTTCACGGTCCTTGCGGAGACTTTTCGTAAGTTTCCTCTTGTGCAGCTTTCGCTCCTCATTGAATTCGGAGCTCGCCGGAATAAGTCTTCTAGCATCTATCAGTTCGGATGAGGCGGTGGAGATCCAGTGGTTTTTACTCACCTTTGGGTTTACCTTATTCACAGCTTTTACAGCTGTATCTATGGCTGCCTGGATATTTTTCCAAGCTTCTTCAGGGTGAGCACAGCTGTCGAACACAGATATGTGTTTAGCTAGTTCTTCCTGAAATACGGATTTAGTTTCCTGATCGAGCTGGGGACGTGATGGTTTTACCGCCAGCTGTTTCCTACGTCCGTTCAGTCGTAAGCACACCCGAGCGCGGACCAGTGCATGGTCGGTATCTACGCACGTGTTCCAGAAGGAGCGACAATCTCCTACCGACCCACGCCAACGATAGCTTATTGCTATGTGGTCTATTTGTGTCCAGCGTTGGTTTGATGAAGGGGGTCTCCAAGTCAAACAGTGTCTCTCCTTGTGTTTGAAGTTAGTGCTTACAAGAAACAAATGATTATCAGAGCAGAACTGTAGGAGACGGTCACCGTTGTCGGTTCGCTGGCACGGAACTCCATAGGTGCCACCGACATCCTTCTCAGATTGACACAATTTCCCTACTTGAGCGTTAAAGTCACCAGCTAGAACGACTATGTCTGAGCGTTTAGCCTTTCGCACCAAACTAGACAGCTTTTGGTAGAACTCATCCTTCGTTTCATCTGAACTGCAGTCAGTGGGGGCGTAGGCGGAGATTACGAAAAGGCATCGGCGAGTAGTGCAGTCCTTCTCCTTCTTACTGATCCGTTCAGGCGGACAGCACACATTCGGCTATCTACCGGGATCCAGTCAAGCAATGTCTTTTCTGCCCTAGTACTCAAAGCTATCCCTACGCCAGCTAATCCTCGTGAACTAGCTGTGGCATCTCCTGACACCCTCAAGGTGAATTTTGCAGATTCAACCTGTTGGCCAGGTGGGGTTAGGTGAATAACCACACTTGGGTCTTGTATGCGTGTTTCTGAAACACAGCATACATCAATGGCTCGTGATGCCAGGGTCTTGGCTAGTGATGCTTGTTGTCCTATTTGGCAAAGTGTCCTAACATTAAGAGCTCCTATATGAAATTGGTGGCGCGGCTTTAAGAGGCTGTCGGTGGTGGTTTTTTGGCTTCCATCGTTTTTAGTGGACGCAGAGTGGAGAGGAAGTGGAGAGCTATCAAGTCGAGGAGTTGCATCAGTGGAAGGAAGGCAAGATGATAGAGATGAAGATGAAGACAAAGATGAGTGAGTAATAGAGAGGTTTCGTGTGCATTTCGGATTGTGAGGGCGATTGTTACTTCCCGGCTGCCCACACCGTGGAAGTTGGTTGCGTGACCGCAGAGCCCAGGGGACAACTGCTTGAGGCCGGTCACACGCGGCCTGTTTTTGTTCGTTCTTTTTTGTTTGGTGTGTCTCAGTAGCATATTTATCACTTCTGCCCTGTGACACAGCAGCAGGAAGCACGGTCGTTGTTAATTCGGGCCCCGACAGATCCGTCATGATATTTTGTGAATTTGTTTGAATCATAGTATTGGATTGGGTGGCTGCTTTTTGTCTAACCGCTATCCAAACAACCTTTCTGGCATGGTAGGACCTCAAGCGACATAAGTTTTAGCCAGTATAGCTTGTTGAGTCATTGAGGTGTTCAAGCCCGACCACCATGTCAAGGTAGCAGCTTTCGGTCGGGTATGATGAAGTTAAACAGAAATGGGGAAAGTGGACATCCCTGTCGGACACCACTGGTTGTTATCAATTCAGATGACAATTCCCCATAAGCCCTTACACGACTACGTGAGTTTGAATAGAGTGCCTTGATTAGTGCAATTTACTTTCTTGGCACTCCCTTCACAGTCAGACATTGCCATAGTACCTTTCGATCCACGGAGTCGAAGGCCGCCTTCAAGTCAAGAAATATGACAATTACTGGACGCCGAAAAGTGTCTATGTTCTAGAATCTGTCGAAGAGTGAAGATATGATCTATGCACCCTCTACCTGGTCTAAAGCCTGCTTGATTTTCCTTCGTTTGTTCCTCCCGAGTTCTGCTTAGTCTGTTCATGATTACTGAGCCTAGGATTTTAGAGACTATGTTCGTTAGGCTGATCCCCCTATGATTATCACACGAGGACTTGTTTCCCTTCTTGAATATCGGTATAATAAGTGACTTACCCCAGTCTGATGGAACCGTCTCTGACTCCCAGACGTTGCCTAGTACTTTAGTTAATCTACATACTAGTATGTCGCCCCCATATTTAAACACCTCCGGAATAATTCCGTCGGGTTCTGGATATGTTATCCTCTGATGTTAAGTAAAAGAAACTCATTTGTAATCATTTGTTTTCTTCATTCTCTTGTCAAATCTAAATATCTTCCTATACTCTGTTGGTTTTAATTCCCTATATGTCTGAGCTTTTCTACATATCGCCTTCATATTCAGTCTAAATATCATCTTCAATAAATTGGAACCATCACAAGCTATTCGGATATTTTGTAGGTGAATTCATCCCTCATATGGAATGCATTATTCTCTTAGTTTTTACTTTATTCCCGTTGAAAAATTTGTTTTCTTATGCATATTTGAAGCAAGCCACTAGATTTCTGCAAACAATATTTCTTTCTCGTTCCAAATTTCAGATTAGTGGTTATTTTATTCCGCTAGAATGTTTGTAGATATATTGGTAGATATCCGACATCTGATAGATACCAGCTGGAAAACCACCGGAAACCACAGAGTACTGCCTAGTTGTTGCTTTCTGTGTTGCGTCCTCCATAGGGCACAACCAAAACGTCTTCAAAGACAGAACCCGAGACCGTTATATCTTGAAACAAAAGTACCTTTATCCAAGCACTACCAAAATTCAGGCCTTTTATATCTCAAATTGTTACTAGAAATCTCTTGTTTATAACCTTATTACTTGAATGCCACCTTAATATCTCTCAAAATTATCCTGTATGCAATATTCACTAAGATCTATGCGAAGTCTCTAACCTAATTGCCAATTTGGTTTTTACGTCCTCAATCAATTTAACACCCCACGTGTAGTAGAAATTTTCGAAGAAAAGTATCAGTCTTTTGATTGTTTTATTGGTAGTAAACAGCTTTTTTATATGCTAACTTTTTAGACGGCTGTAGCACGGATTCATAAGTCTGGTCTCCTAGGTCAAACAGTCATGTCTAATCCAGGTAAATTCATTCTTGTCTTTTTGTATAATTTACGCTTGCTTTAATACAACGGGAACTTATATTACACGGCGTTGTGTAATGTGAATTCACATCTTGACGAAAAATACAATAGTTATACAATAGGAGGGTAAATAGTACCGTATTATGACGTATTGACGTCCTCTCATAGATGCAAGTTTATAGTATTTTGTTAAGAAAAGCATATGTCCTCATATTTCACGGGAGTTGTCTATCAATAGGTATTTGCTTTGTGATGAAAATATCACCCTACGTAAAATGGAGTATTCTGGAATACAAGACCAGGCTCATCATTTGGTTTGATCTCTTCTTGACACTGTCTAAAGGTGTGTTGAGAACTGATGGTACTGAGTAATTGTTTTACTCAGTCTTCAAATCCCAAGAACGTATATATTTGTAAATTATTTCTAGGTCGACTTCGTTGTATTTTATTCTCATCATATACTTAACTTGAGTGAGGTCAAATAATATTTGCCTTGTTCTTTTATCTACAAGAGGATGCCTTTATCTTCATAATTTATTGATTGTGTTTGATGGAAGTCATCTCAGATTTCAAAGATTTCACCTTTCTTAAGTGATTCCAACTTGTGGTTTAAAACTATTGACGTATTGGGTGGTTATAATAGATGTAGTTGAAATCTGGTTCTCAGCAGGATTCAAAACAGAAGTCAGCGAATTCCTGCCCCAGTGGTTTACTGGTTAAGCACTAAGACCCAACTGCTAAAAAGGTTATTATTTCACTACGATGACCACAGGTAATGCCTAGTTGTCATGTTGAATGAATGATAACGCTCATGTTTACTTGTCATCAGACTAGCTGTCTAGTTAGGTTATTTCCTGTAACCCGAGTGATACTGAAAGAGAAGGTTGTTAGATTCTGGTAAGATTATGACGTAACCTTTGCTTGGCAGGCTTTTGTTGGTCGTAAAATTTCGAACTATTAGTTCATAGGCCGCTTGTTTGAGTCATTCGGTGACAGATTTTCATTTCACTTTCAGTCACCACCCATTAACTCAATAACAGTTTGGAAACGTGACTCAGATAGTCTCACCATCGACATAAAGTTACCGTTAATTTAATTTGTTTCTCTATTACTTTCCTGAACAAATAATTATGCATATATTTTGTTCATATTGTTTGCATATGACCTTTACACTAACCTCAATTGGAATCGCACCATAGATACCAAAAATCTCGTTCGTTTTTCATCAACTGGCATCATCATGGTATTCGGCTTCCAATTAAAGGGTGTTTGAGTCCGTATTCTCTGTAATAATAATGTTTGGTATAGCAAGTTAGACAGGGAACACAATGTAGTAGTCGATGAATTTGAATCAAGCAATAACAACAGTGGTTTGTGCAGAATAATATGGTACCATCGTTTGTTTCGTTGGCTTCTCATCAGCTGTTCACAGCCTAAATAAATTGTGAGGTTTACTTACAGAAAAATTTTAACATACTTGCAAACTTTACATGTTGTCAGTTGACAGAAAGTTCCACAATTAGTGAGCAGTGCTCAGAAAATTGCGCTTATATAGTTTTTACACAGGGAGTTCAAGTTTAAACAAAATAAATGTATGCATACAATGGTAAAGGAGTTACGTAATAAAGACGAAATATGCGTTGGATACAGAGTGGCTAATAAATTAGGTAACAATGTACTGAGTTCAAACTCAAATCATAGAAACAAGAGACAAGCAAAATTACAGATTATAAAAGGGTGTGAGATCAAAGACAAAGATTATGTAATCAGATTTAGTTTTTACACATGCAATCTTCGTCTTTAACCTCACCCTCCTTTTATAGTCTTTAATTTTGCTTGTCTCTTGTTTCTATGATTTGAGTTTGAGCTCAGTACATTGTTACCTAATTTATTAGCCACTCTGTATCCAACGCATATTTCGTCTTTATTACGTAACTCCTTTACCATTGTATGCATACATTTATTTTGTTTAAACTTGAACTCCCTGTGTAAAAACTATATAAGCGCAATTTTCTGAGCACTGCTCACTAATTGTGGAACTTTCTGTCAACTGACAACATGTAAAGTTTGCAAGTATGTTAAAATTTTTCTGTAAGTAAACCTCACAATTTATTTAGGCTGTGAACAGCTGATGAGAAGCCAACGAAACAAACGATGGTACCATATTATTCTGCACAAACCACTGTTGTTATTGCTTGATTCAAATTCATCAAGGGGAACAAATGCATGAAGTAGTCGATGAGTTGTGCTCAATTCCGACGGAAATTCTAGGTTACTTTGTCAGACAGTCAGGAAAGTAATGTGGTTTGACTTAAACACTCATTGTGATAATCGCTTTTCGTGTATTTTAAAATAATTTAAAAGATAAGCACGAAACACCTAACATTTTTCACTAAACTAAACTGGCGCGTCACGAAAAGCATTTTTAACAGGCTACAGACTTTTACCAACAGCTGCTTCCGTTTAGTACTGAAGATCGGATGACTCCCCAGAAAGAATTAGCAAAAAGAAACTCTAGCAAGAAACCAGTCAAAAGCTGAAGAAAATGGAGATGCATTGGACATATGCTGAGGATGCCGTCGAATAACATCGCGCGCCAGGCCATTGCTGGAGTCGAACCCGAATGAGAAGCGACGAGCGGGTTGTCCTAGGGTGACATGGAGGAGACCATGTGGGGAGGAGGAGATGAGGGATTATGGGCAATCGTGGACCCAGCAGGAGAGGACATCACGAAACAGAACTAAGTGAGAATGTGTTGTTGACGTCCTATTTTCCTCTTGCAACCCAAAGGAACAATAATAATAATATACAAACCTGTTTTTCGTGCACCACTATAAAATTAACAAACAATAATTAGTCACTTCGCGAAAGTACTGGTTTCGAATAAAATCCTTCGGTATTTCAATTACTGTCCTACTTTGATGAAGTTTCTTTCAAGATGGTCAGCTTTGAACTTAATGAAGAAATTTCATTTTCCCAACCGTGTTATAATTAATTTATAGAAAAGTACATAGTAAAAGAACCTCAACTGCGTAAATTTTTATGCCGATTAGTGGAGAATGACAGGAAGCTATTTGTGATATCAAATAGTTCAGCTGCATACATGTAAGTTTTATATCATATGTTTCTAGCTTTTCGTTAATTTTCATATATTTGCCGCAATCAGCCTCTGTAAAAAAACAGAAATGGTCAAGAGACTTGAATAAATGAAATACAAACAATTAGATCTAAGTTACAACTTCCATGATTTGTACTTTTCAAGTTAAAAATGCCTATCTTACTGAATACAAAGCTATACAAATACATGCAAAAGTTAATTGATAAGTGTTAACACGACATTATAACAGTCTGTCTATTTAGTTAATTAAATTGTAAGATATGTCTCTTGTCTTGTTTTATTTTGGTTACTAACTAATTTGAATTATATCATCTGTTGTACTTGCTATGCCATAGTGATCGAGGACTAAGATTTTTGATTGGAGAAGATTGGCAAGAATTATTCGATGTAATCATTTCTCGTGCAAACAAACCGACCTTTTTTAAATCACAATTGGGGTTAGTTTACATTCTTTTTATACGCCTCCTGTAACCTTGGACTTATCTCATTTCTTAAAACAAGTTTATACGTTTTAATATTGACGCAGGATATAATGGAATCATCAAATATCAGGAAAATGTGTCAGTTGATTACTCTATAGTCACCTTTTCATGTAACTTATGTGTAATTTATAGGGCGGTGTGTGACAAATATATAAAAACACAGAGAAATTAAAGTTCTAAGGTCAAGTCCAGTGTGGCCAAGATACAAGAGGTTGAAAGTTATTATCATAATGGACTACAGTTCCACTGTCCGAGACCTTTATCCACCTTAAATCTAAACCATTATTTCATACATTTATTCCCCTTAATGAATTTGAACAAAGCAAGAACTACAGTTTTTGCAGAATAAAATGTTACCATCTTCTATTTCGTTGCCTTCTCGTCAGCTGCTTACATGGCAAAAACATTTTTATTTTTTATTTTTTTTTTATTTTTGATTACAGCTTGATTCCACACTGTATTTTTGGTACATGTATGGAATTTTCAGCATGGATATCCGTAGCCCAAATTTCGCAGGCCGACCATAGATATCAGGTGTGCATCGGCAGGGGATCGAGCCTCGGACCATGTGAATGGTCGGCGAGTCCTAACCACTGTGCCACCGACGCACATTATTAAATATATCTACGACAACAATTTTAACATACATTTATTCCCCTTAATGAATTTGAACAATGCAAGAACTACAGTTTTAGCAGAATAAAATGGTACCATCTTTTATTTCGTTGCCTTCTCGTCAGCTGCTTACATGGCAAAGACATTATTAAATATATCTACAACAACAATTTTAACATACTTGCACAGAGTTCAGTTTAAACAAAAATCAATCGATCAATATACTCATACACTAAAAATATATACATATATAAATATGCAATATTAACCACTATTCCGAACAATAATAATCAAACACAATGGAAACTTTTAGCATTTCACATTCGGAGGAAAGAGAGGTGAAATTATCCAGTTACCAGGGCAAAGAAAGGCTGATAACCGCTTCTTTCTGGACGCATAAATCAGGTTTCAGGCGCTTGATGGAAATGGCTTCAGCAAACTTAAGGAGAATTGAGCTATTTTGCTTATTGATAATTTTGAACGACTTTTCAACGTCCACCTCATGACCCGTGTCGAGAAGATGCCTGGTGATGGCACTATTTAAAGCATTTGTTCCCTTTAGACGTAAGCTTTTTGGTACATGTTCAGAAAATCGTAGATATGCCCTTCTTTCTGTCCTTCCAATGTAACTGCTCCCGCAGATACATGTAAATTTGTATACACAGTTGGAGGTAACATGAGAAGGATATCTATCGATTTTCGATTGCACCAAAGAGTAAGTTGTTCGATAGACGGGAACGAGCTTAGCTGCAGGATACGCTATGGCTAGTGATGTACTCAGCCTTCTGTTGATCATCGCTGCAATATTTTCACCTTTGTAATCAAGCTGAAGGTAGACTGGCTTTTTTTCCACTGTGATTTGTTTTACTCTTTTGACTTCAGATCTTCCATACTTGTTGATGAACCTTTGAGGATACCCATTTCTCTTCAATATATTTTCAAGTAACTCAAACTCCTCTTCTAGTTTCTCTGTAGAGCATATTCTCCTCGCTCTATAGTACAAAGTTTTGACCAGACCACGTTTAAAGCTATGTGGACAAAAGCTATTAAAATGTAAGTATTGTCCTTTCCATGTGGGCTTTCGATAAATTGACTTTTGAAGACCACCGTCTTCTAGGCGTTCCATGGCTATGTCGAGGAAGTGAAATTTTCCGTCACTTTCGTGTTCCATAGTGAAGTCAATATTGGCTTGTGCACCATTGAATAATCTTAGTAAGTGTGAAGCATGACTTTTATTTTTGCACACTATAAATGTGTCATCAACATAACGACAGTAGGAGGATGTTTCGTCGATTGCATTCTTCAGCTTTGTTCTTTCAAGGTTAGACATGAAAATATCTGCTAAAACAGGGCTAAGTGGACTGCCCATAGCTACACCATCTATTTGGCGGTAAAACGTGTTGTCAAATAGGAATTGCACATCCATGGTGCACATAAGCAGTAGGCGTTTGAATTCAACTTTTCAACGTCCTCCTCATTCGTTCAAAATTATCAGTAAGCAAAATAGCTCAATTCGCCTTAAGTTTGCTGAAGCCATTTCCATCAAGCGCCTGAAACCTGATTTATGCGTCCAGAAAGAAGCGGTTATCAGCCTTTCTTTGCCCTGGTAACTGGATAATTTCACCTCTCTTTCCTCCGAATGTGAAATGCTAAAAGTTTCCATTGTGTTTGATTATTATTGTTGTTCGGAATAGTGGTTAATATTGCATATTTATATATGTATATATTTTTAGTGTATGAGTATATTGATCGATTGATTTTTGTTTAAACTGAACTCTATGCAAGTATGTTAAAATTGTTGTTGTAGATATATTTAATGTCTTTGCCATGTAAGCAGCTGACGAGAAGGCAACGAAATAAAAGATGGTACCACTTTATTCTGCTAAAACTGTAGTTCTTGCTTTGTTTAAGTCATTATTATAATTTGAAATGCAAACGGAAACTCGACAACATAACTAACAAACACAGATGAATTCTGTTGAAGAAACTTGTGACTTACGAAGCGAAACGTTCAGAAAAATCTTGTTTTGATTTTTTAAGTAATGTATAATGATTCAATCAGAGTCGGCACTCAAATTATTCTTGGTGGTCCATAACAAGTGTTATGTTTAAAGTGACGAAATCAATCGGGTATATGCAATACTACTTTTTATTAGTTTGTAATATGGTACGTTATATGGAAAAACAGTGGGAAATGTATGCATTGACCTTATCGACAAAAATGTCAACCAAACCTCTGTCACTGAAACTATGAGATAGTTAGATGCAACGCTATTGAAATAACGCAAAAAAGTATTTGCAAAAGCATAGGCGAATTTAGGTGAAAAGGGAATTTCATACTCAAGAACTACTGTTACTTTAACATTACATTACTATGAAACAAAGAAATAACACGATCCCGCTAGCGTAAATATTCATTTTTAGAATTACTCAGAATCACTCATACTTAAGAGTTTGTAAGTTGTAGGTCCTACTGAAAATTAGTATGCTCTATCACCCATTTAATTAGTAGTCTGCATAACTTGTAAGTAGTGCGTCGATGACATAGTGGTTAGGACGCTCGCCGACCATATACATGGTCCGGGGTTCGATCCGCGGCCGACGCACTCCTTTACCTCGCTAAGCCAGAAATAATGCTGGTAAAGAGGAATGGTTTGGTATGAGGCTAGCAACCCATCCTGTAAAATAAACACTTCTACAGAAACTTCAAGCCACTAGGTTGAAGCCTTATGTTCCACTGGGGAACGTGAAGGAAAAAAATGACTTGTAAGTACTAGTGTCAAAACACAAATCAAAAATCCACATTTTATAGATCTATGCTCCTAGGGGAAATACATTTTGACAGAATTGAGGATTGAGATGATTTTGGGAAAAGGTTAAACAATACCAACCCTAGGAACTCTGACAGTGTGGTTGTTAACTTGCACAGGGGATAGTGTGAAACTAGTGTTTGAGCCTACTCGGGCGCATACTCAGGAGACCTTGAGCAACCGTTAGTAAATCAGCTGTCTGTTTAATTAATTCACTGTAATCTATTTACTGAAGTCTTTTTCATATTTCGGTGTTGGAAAAAGGACTGTGTTTATGTAAATACATTTTCTATTAGTATGATTTTCCATCCAGTTATTCTACAGGTACTATTTTACATTACTTCTTTATTTATCTTTCAATATTTTACAGTCAGTTTCGACGTACTGATGTGGGTGGTACATTTAAACACTGGGAAGCAGTACAAGGATTTAAACGAGGTCAAATGTATGAAGGAGTATGTCCTTATTTATTTATTTTTTAACTATTCGAATGTATTTACTGCTGCTATCCCCTGTGTAGTTACTTTGTTGTATCAACAAATTATAGTCTTTACCATGTCATTTAAATCCCAGTGTTTCTTACATGTTATCATTAAATGAACGTATTAGTGTGGTGGTGGTGTGATACAAACAATGTGTTTCAATGGAATATTATTTTCACATATTCCCACAGTTCAATACCGCATTAGCAACATAATACTAAGCATATTCGAACATTTGATTTCATGTCGTTTAATGTAAACCAGAACCACACGCTCACTGATTGGTTATAGAATATAAACTGTATAGATATATAAATAGTAGTTTAATCAGTTGAAAATATACCTTTACTTCCGTGTCATGTCTTCTGCTGTTATGATAGAGAAGATTTGTAGCTCAGCACTGAAGATGTCGCCTAGTAGGGCGATGAAAGCTTCGCAAATTAACCATCCAGCTCAGAGAACACAACCATTTCTACTGTTAAACTAGTACATCCTAGCTGAATGGATAAGAGGCGATTAAGTGTCAAATTTCTCACAGAAATCCACCAAAAAGTTGCAGTTAAAAGGTTTTTATCTTGAATATTTCCGCTTTCATTACCAAATTAACTCTATGAAAACTGAAAAATACAAGAGTGCTAAACATTCTCTAAATCCCATTTTTGCTTTAAAGTTAAAGTAAACTAAACTGAGTACAACGACTCATATCTGTCTGTTTTCGACATAGAACTTTGCACTGATGTTCGGCTGTTCAAGTCGCCACACTCCCTCCATGTAACACACAAAGCAAGAGAAGAAAGTAGAAGAAATGCATAATAGAGACAGTAAACAGAGGTGTGAGACAAAGGAATAGTAATAAAAAGGAACAATATAGTTTCATTGGAAATCATAAGTCACAGGGAGAACGATTTTGAGCCATATCACCAATTGTTTCCAGCCATTGGTGTTTACGGTCGCGGGGACCCCAACCGGGAAGTTTACACCTTCCCACGTGGCTTAAGCTAACTGTTGTGGATTTCTTTGACTGGCGCCATGCTTTGGTTTGACCACCATTAGCTCTTTTCCACCTTGACCTTATGTCAGCTAAGTTATATATGTCCAAACCAAGTTCACTTCTAACGGTCAGCTAACATTGCCCGTCGAAGAAAGCGATGACTAGGCATACTTAACACATGTCCTAACCATCTCAGTCGATGTAATTTCACAGCCTGGTCGATTGATTTCCCCTCCTTACCTAGCACTCGACGCCTAACCTCAATATTGCTCACCTTATTTTACCATTTCACACGGGAGATAGAGACAACGATTCATATGGACTAACATCTCATTGTTTTGGTACACTACAAAATTTTTCGGTGTTATTAATTTCAATGATAGAATATGTCAACTTCTGTGTAGATTCCCTAATGGCATATGTACATGAGATATATTAATTAATTACCTCAAAAACAAAATAAAAGAATTAATTATGTGGTATAATGTGCTTTCACTTTTTCTTTTCAGGGTTGTTTGGAACAAATGATTAAACTTACTGGATGGTCTTCAGCAAGCATATTATACTTTGGAGATCATGTGTATGCAGATCTTGCAGTAAGTGATTTTTATGCTTCCTATTGTTTTTACTGCTTCGGTATTTTGTTACGAAAACTCACTAACACTGTTACAGAATACTTTTCTAAAATAAAAATTAACAAGTGGAATTGGATCCTAAATATAGTGTGGAACATGTATTCTTGATCTGCTTTCCAAGGAAAAGATGATCCTTAGTAGTTTATTTGATGGAAGGTGATCTGATGAAAGGCCTTTAAGGAATTTCGCAGAAGTAACTGTATTTGACTTAAGAAGACTTCTTCAAGATCGTGCATATATATATATATATATATATATATAACTAGTGCAAGCAGTTGTCTTCAATACCTTTTTCATGAGACTGTTCAGTTATGAATTCACTAATGTTAGTACACAACAGCCCTTAAAGGCAAGCTAAAATTATTCCAAAAACTGTATTTTGGTACAAGTACAAGGTAGACTAATAGCCGTATAGTTTTAATAATAGCATAGGTGGAAATAAAATGTACAGATTATAAGGACATTATATTAGAAATGGTTGTTAATCAATGATCATCTTTTCTTTCATAATCCTAAAACCTGTAATTTGTGTACCGTTGGCACAGCGGTTAGGACTCTTGCCGACCATGTACATGGTCCGGGGTTCGACCCCCTGCCGATGCACACCTGAAATCTTTGGTTGACCTGCAAAATTCGGGCTACCGATATCACATGCTGAAAATTTCATACTTGTGCCAAAAATACTGTGTGGAATCAAACTGTAATAAAAAATACAAAAAAAATTATAAATTCAAAATCACGTCTTTGAAGTTTTCTTTTAAATCTCATATTCGTATTGATCCTTCATTTTACATGCATTTAAGTGATAATCGAAACAACCTGGCTATTGCTCCATAGTTATAATTTTAATTTGTCTTTACTGGTTGTTATTATTACATGCCAACATTAATGCATTTATAACTAACTGCAGAGTCTGATGAAGTTTATCGAAAACAGTTATTTGCTATAATAATTTTTGTTCTGAGTAAGTGATAGGAATATTCGAATATTCATATTAGCCTATGGGTTATCTTCACCTTTCGATTTAGTTCCAAATGTCGTAACTGGTTGACTGCTTAGTACTGCTGCATTAGTGATACAATACAGTGTTGAAATCCTAAGTCACCTGATGAGCCATTAATAAATAGGAAACACCATGGAGCATAAATATTTTTGAATAGTTTTCATTCCCCTATACTTTTCTTCTCTTGACTTCTACGTTCTTCTAATAGCATCCTTGTTTTGACTAGGATGGGGTGTAGGTACAGTTGTAAAGTGTAACAAAGTGAGCCACTGTACCTTTGTGTAAGTTTCCCTCTTAGTTTAAGACATATGAATGGTTTAAATGATGTTCTCATCATAGCTGCCTTTCTTTTATACATCTCTGTGATTACGTACATTGCTAGGATGTGGCGAGTATATATGGTTGGATGACTGGAGCTGTTATACCCGAACTGGAACAAGAACTCATTGCTGCCAATGATCCTGACTTCAAAATGAATCTTAGACGCCTAAAAATATTGGAGAAGCTAATCCAAGAGAATCAAGTAAGTTTACTTATTGCCAGCCAGAGTAATACATTTTCACTTATCAGCGTTAAAATTTATGTAGGTGTAATTTACATGAAATTAAGAAATCAAATATCAACAGACTATTGTAAAAATTATTTTTTGGAACACTAAAACTAAATGACAGCTATAAGTATAAAACTTGCGCACTGTCGTAGAGTATAACTTCATTATGGATTAGATTTTATTTTGATAAAGTCACACAGTGTTGTACAGTAATATTAACTGATGTTTCGAGTACAAATTATTGGTAATGATCATATCAAGGTACTCACACAACTTTTTGCATCATTTGCATACATGAGTAAAAATTGACTAGACATTTGAATAAAAATTAATACACGATAAAGTACATTCGGAACCAGTATTAGTGTTATCAGTTAATATAACATAATGAGAGTTAAGTTGAGTGTTGTTAGTCAGTAAGATGGGAAATAAGATATTTTTTTATAGTAAAAATAAGTAACTTAGTAGAATGTTATAATATGAATTGAATACATTTTAACATTATTTATTATCCTCTAATTTAACTGGTAATAATATCTTACACAATGCTGGTATTTGCGTTGAGTCACTTCGATTGCATGTGTTAGGTGTGGACTCGATGAAACAGGATTCATTAATCAATCTCTCTCTCCACCCACCTACATTACTTTTCAGAATTTTGACTCTGTCCCACACTTTTGTGTGGTTGTGTGTTAATGCATGCAGTGCGATTTCTGAGTTTATTTTTTAAATTATCTTCGTGGCATCCATCATTCATACCTAAGCTAAATTCTTATATTCTGATAATCTCACTACTCCTGATCTGCTGTTCTGACCCATGTAGTTGACCTCACAGTCATTGCAAGGTGTTTTGTAAATTATATTATTTTGTTTGATTGGGTCCACCGGGTTTTTGTAGCCTACAGAGCTTGTCTCTGAGTGAGTTTGTAGGTTTAAATGTCACCCTAATTCCTGCTTTATTAGGAATCGTACGTAGGGTTTCGGATGCCTCCCCTTTATATAGCAGAACTGTAGATGCCTCATATTCTTTCTTATTTATGTTATCATTATTATTCCTCCCCATTATTTTCATTTTAACCTTTTCTGATCTTCCTAATGAACTTTATAAGATAGTTATTTAACACCAACGCTTCTTCTATCTGTTTCATTTCATCGTTTAGGTTTTTTGTTTTACTACTTAGTACTATTGCTCGGTTTGTTAGACACTTAACTAAGCCAGCCTTTACAAACAGTGGATGAGATGAATTAAACTCTGCATATCTGTTAGAATGCGTTGACTGTTTATAAATACTAGTGTGCAGTTTCTTCTATTCGTTTGATTTTACAATCTAACACCATAGTGAATTCTCCTCGTGCATTCTCCGAATCAAATGTGAATTTGATTCCCTCCACTAGTGAGTTTATATGCTTCAATAAGCTAGAGATATGTTCTGTTTTTAACACTGTGAAAATGTCATCCACATATCTCCACCACATTTTTGGAGTAGGATTAAATGTATTTGAAGCAATATTTTCGAAGCTATCCATAAAGATATCTGCCGCGATAGGAGATATTGGTGATCCCATTGCTACACCGTCTGTTTGCTTATGTATTCTATATATATATATATATATATATATATATATATATATATATATATGATTTTATTTAAATGTCTAGTCAGTTTTTACTCATGTATATAAATGAAGCATAAAAGTTGTGTGAGCGACTTGATATGATCATGAGCAATAAATTGTGCTCGAAACGTCATCAGTTAATATTACTGTATACCACTGTGCGACTTTATCACTATAAAATCTTATCCATAGAGTTAAATGACAGTTGGTGTCAATGTATGTATTGATTAGCCAAAAAATGAATATCCTTTGGTTTTTGAGACAGGCGGGTTCTAACAGTTTAAAAAGTAAATAGGTGCTTCGGCTGAATTCTAATTTATATATATATATATATATATATATATATATATATATTTCCCGGCCGATAACTACAACCTTTTCGTGGTGGTCGGGCTTGAATACCGTAATGACCCAACATGCTAAACTGACTGGGACTCTGTCCCTGCAGGATAGCGATTAAACTAAAAGCAGTTACCATCGGGTACATGGGCTCCAGTATCCAACTGGATCAAATGGCGTATGAACCCATATGGGTCACCGGCAACAATGGGAACGCTGCTCCGCTGCCTTTCTGATTAGTCTCCAAGCCAGAGGCTTGGGGGATGGTCCCTTAATAAAACCACCTGCTTCGGTTTGGGCGCCCGAGCAGTATCTCAGCCCTCACACAATGAATTGAATAAAGCAACAAACAATCAATGAAACTTATCGCGTGCTATTACACGTGTTGCAATTTCCTTCTTTCTTCCCTTCCCGATGACAGTTAACCAATACTGTTTGAACTTGTTAAGCATGACTGTTTTCCTTCCAGATGAAGTTCTTTATCCGTTCTCTACTTATATATATATACATATACTTTTTTCTCTTCTTTTTTTTCTTTTGATCTATGTTGTTTTATTATTATTGTGTGGCTCATCCTTCTTGGTGCCGTATTGTACCAAGTTTTAGGCGTTTAAATAAATAGATAAATATTCGTTTGTTTAGCCTGTCATGTCTATCAGTAAAAGTGTGCTAACCAGAGCTGTCGAAAATTTTGACCAGCTGAACGCTTGTGAGGCTGTAACTGAACAGCTACCTCATAAATTTAAATTTTTCATGTGGTCTTTTTATTTTGAACGCTATTCTAATGTGATGCTAAGAATATACACAAAAATAAGACTTCTGAGATTCCGTTTAATACACTTTGTGCGTACTTACTCGCCGATACGACTGATTTCGATACGTGTCACCAAAATTTCACAGTTACCAGTTTCAGTGGTTTATCGGAACACAATTAGAAGGAAGGTTACATTTCCATTTCTATCGCTTAGACCTGGCTAGCGAGTACTACTGGTTGATGTGAATGGTATCGAACTACTCATGCCAATCAATCAGTGGTATATGCTACTGTGTATGTTCTATTTTGACTCAATTTTCCTCTGCATACCGTCATTCGTTAAAGCAGGCGTTGGCTTTACACACATACACACAAGAAATACGCGTATTACATCATTTTAAAAATGCATGATCACATTAAGTAATTCATTTTCTTAACTTATTCACTAAGTTGTATATGGTAATCCTATTGCACGTAGGTGATCTGTAGTCACATGATTTCTGCTTTGTTATGACAGTCTCGTATATTTTTTTGTATTTTTGTGTATATTGATCGTTATTCCATTATAGCTCACAATATGTTTTGTTTGTTCATTAACTAAACAAACAACATATTAAATATTCCCATAGTAAAATTTAGAACAACACATTTAAGCGAACAATATTCTTTTCAATTAGATCTCATCAGGCTTAACTCTAGTATACATATATATATATATATATATATATATATATATAAATTAATCCCAGCGTGTTAAGAAAATCAAAACAAGATTTTTCTGAACGTTTCACCGTGTAAGCCACAGCTTCTTCAGCAGATTTATTCGGATTATAATTAATCATCAAAATATATAGTCAAAAATTTTTTACATAAAATGAAGTTAGTTTATTTGAAGGTCATTTGTCCATAGACATTTTTTTACCAATAGAAGTATGTAAGCAGTCCTCACATATATTTTTGTAATGACTAATGTCAAATTGTTGTTGTGTTTACTCTTCTATAGTTGATTTGTAAAGATTAGATTTGTATACGTATGTGTGAATCAATCGGACTCGGCGCTCAAATTATTCCAGGAAATTCGTAACACCTACGGTCTGGAAACATATATATATATATAAGTTTACAAATAAAAATTCAAATATGAACCAATCATGGTGCTTTGTCTACAGGATAATAAGATGGTGAATGTAAATTGTGCAATTAGTCATAATAGTAGTAATCATAATACTAATAATAGTAGTAATAATAATGGTTTTATCAATAATAAGGATGAAAAAGTGAGGCAATCTGTAATAACACGAATAATGAAAAACAGCATGATTAAACAAACAAATGTTCAGGTGGAAGTAGTCGATGAAGGCTAGCAAAAATAAATAAACTGATTAAGTAATGCTAGATTGTAAGGGAAATAAATGACAAACGTTTTCAATGAAGATGTGATAATATTAAGGGATGATAAGAAAGGGGTTGAGAATATAAACAAGGGGTGGTGTAAAAGTCATTAGTTGGTTAATTCTTAATAGACCAAGGGAGGGATAATGGCCGTACGAACTTCTTTTGAATGCATAGTTTAGGTTTAATAGTTCGAATGCCTATCGCCTCAGCTGTGTGCAGCAGACGAATACGAAGTCTATTAGAAAGATTCGGTGGGATACGATGAATTACTTTGAAGGCTCTCGTTTTCTCCACTACATGACCGCTATCAAATAAGTGTGACGAAATTGAGCTACGGATTGTTTTTGTCTGTCCTTTGCCAAACCACGACGGGAGATTTTCACTATTTTTTATTATTATTGCTCCCTTGGGTTCCTAGTGGAACATAGGGCTTCAACTGCACGTCTCCATTTTCTTCTGTCTTCTGCTATACTTTTCGCCTGCATCCATGTTAGTCCATACTGTTTCAACTCCTCTTCACACGATCTCCTCCATGTCACCCTTGGACGTCCCACACGCCGCTTCCCTTTCGGGTTCCACTCGAGGGCTTGGTGCGCGATGTCACCCAGCGGTCTCCTCAGCGAGTGTCCGATCCATCTCCACTTTCTCCTGCATATTTGTTGGGCGATTGGTTCTTGCTTTGTTTGTTCCCATAATTCCTTGTTGGTGATTCTTTCCGGCCATCTGATCTTCAGTATTGAGCGAAGACAGTTGTTAATAAAGGTCTGCAGCCTTTTGGAAATATTCTTTGTGACCCGCCCCAAGTTTCTGATCCGTATAGAAGAACTGACTTTACGTTTGTATTGAAAATCCGAATTTTGTTGGTGAT